AGCGCGCGTTGTAGTGATCGAGGAGGAAGAAGAAGAAGATGAGTTGGAAGAACGTAGAGCCATCATTCTCAGGAAGGTATCATCACTCTTTTTTTTTTACTCTGCTTATTCCTTGTGAAATGTAGGATTAAGACATATGTCTGGTTTTGTATTAGTTTATGAAGTTTGTTGAGAATAGTAGTTTGATTTTGACTGGCATGATTGAGATTGGTATGTTCAAAAATTGAACCTTTACTTGCTTGTGTGGTGTACTCTGAGTTTAGCAAAGCGTTTCCCCTGTTATTGACTTGAAGAATTATTTACGAGATTATGTTTTCATTTTTTTCTTTTTGATTTAATCTTTAATTTACCATGTGTTTCTCTTGATGGTTGTGGTTATAAAAGGCGTTTGCGATGGAGCAGTTAGGACCAAGAAGGGTAAGAACAAGGAAATGTCGTATGAATATGCGGTTGTTGCTATGGGTGAAGAAGGTGACATGGTTGTAAGTATTGAGTATAAACCCATTCAATTTTATTTCTAAGTGTCTTTCCAAAGTTGTTGGATTTAAATCCTCTAAGGAGCATTCTCAGCTTCAACATAAAATAATCTAAGCTTAGCTTTGTTGACATTGCTCTGTTTTTTGCAGGTTGTAGCAGGGAAAGGCCATGAAGTATATCAGCTTGAAGGTGATAAGAAAGAGTTCTATGATGACCGAGAGGAATGCCTGGAAGCATTACAATATGTCGATGAGCTTCACCAAGCTGGAATAGACACATGCGAGTTCCCATGGCGGTAAGTGGAACCAAACCATAACAGTTTCTTTTTCTAGATGATAACCCGAGGTTTCTGATAAGTGAGGATTGCTGAAATTCCTCAAGATATTTCCTGATCACTATTTGTTCTTTCCTCCTATTACTCTGCTTTTGCAGGTTGCCAGAGAGTCATTAATATGCATGTGGTGAGATCATTAGAACAGAGGTTAAAGCTTATTAGCTAATCCATAAAATCAGATTGACTTCCACCGCGGCTCAATCCTCTTGCAAATATCGATTTCTCAAGAGCTCATGACTTCTACGCAAGAGACTTGGAAGTATCTAACCTTGTGAGTCACCATGACTTTCTATTTTATAGATTAAGAGGAACCGAGATCTCGAAAGGGCAAATTAGCTAAAAAAATTTTTGCATACTATTTGTGAGAGTTTTGAAAATTGAAGAGGTTTAAGAGTTGCGTGGAAGATGTGAGAGTTGTTTTCTTTGTCATTGTTATGTAGGAGAGTGAGAACTAGAGACACAAATTCTAAAGGTGGAAGATGTATACAATTTTTTTTTTAATTATTTAATCTTTCCGTCTTCACTCTTCTCTCTACTTCATTGCTTTGTGTGTGATAAATTGGAGAGAAAATCCTTTGGAGCATTTCATGGATTCGCTGAGATTTCTCCGTATTCTTCTTCTCTGGAACAAGGAAATTTTTCAGATCAATTTTTGCGGTTATGCTTTTATCTGATAGTTTATC